TCGCTACCTATATGCAATTGGTAACAGCTTTAGACATTAAAATTTCAGTTAACTCCAAATAATGGCAGGTGTAGTGGTAATAGTATATCTACATCATTAATTATAAATTGTGTCTGAAAATATCTCAACTCAATAAAACTGAATGTATAACTAACCTATTAGAGACTATTTCTTAGTAGTAACCGCTTTAGTATATCTTTTCATTCTATTTCTTTCCTATCCTGCTGTTAATATTTTGCTTCCATTAAAATTTTACTGTTCAGTATTTAACTTTTTGTTTTTATGATGTCCTTTTTTTATAACCACGTATATATTTTTCAAAATAAAGCAACAAAATCATTTCCATTACTGGTAAAGAATATTTTTGTGTAAATATAAATACAAAGTTGCTCATATGCTCCTGCAGCTCATATAACTTTCATCGCTCGACTCTATATTGACCGTAAAATATCATAACTTAATTGACAAGTTAAAGCCAACTAAGAACATCAAAGTGTTAAGATGAGCAGAGAATACACAAATGTCAATACGGAAACGTTAACTTTAGTATTTACTCGCAAATACACACTGACTTATATACATCTCCACGTTTTTGTATAGACCAATATGTATAGATATACATATATAGTCATATGCATATATACACATAGTTGTACAGACATAGTTTTTTATATTGAAGTTTATTTTTATACCAGTTATGGAATTATGTATGTTTACAGAACCCATGTATGTACGTGTGTACGGGTGTATATTTTTGCAGCATTAAATTTGTAACGGTCAACAAAATAAAAGTAACTTTTCTGTCTCCGTTGGTTAACCGCCCGACTTGATTCCAGTTTTAAAAGTTCTTACCGCATTTATTGATTTATATTGATTAGCTTTAGTGCTTGTAGTATATGACACATGCCGCATATGAATAAATATGGAAAGGACGAAGACCTGACTAAATAAACAAAAAAAGAAAATTTTATATTAAAAGTGCAGATTCAAGTGACATTTAAGGGTCATTGAAAAGTTCACTTCTCTCGAAAGTAACATTTTGCAACTGCAACTGTTGAGTGCTGTCAACTCGGTACGTCCTTTTTTATACTATCTTAGTTCATTGGCTGTATGGTTCACTGATTTGTGGAAAAAATCTTCTATAATTTTCTAGTATATAAATTCAAACAACTTTGTGCATTTTTTACTACTGCTTTTAGAGTGAAGAAGCGTGTCTCAAGTATTTGCGCAAACTGCAGATATTATTTTATATGTTTTTCCATTTCGAATTCATTGCGAAGATTGCAGGGAGTTACACAGTCAAAGTAGGATGACATACATTAAACAAATAATTGAAGATGAATATTAATTCTTTTTTATGATATGCTTCAAAGTTTGTGATAATTACAAGTTCTTTAATAATTCATTTAATTAAATGAAACAAGTGTAGTTTGGTTACTTGGATTACGCGTACTGTAATAATTATGTGCACATCTTTAATTGATGATATGTTTGTAAAGTTGTAACAAGTAAGTAAAAAACTTCAGTTTTTATAATATAAAAAATGTATTATATCAAACCAGTTAAGTATGTCACTTATTTTTTCAAGTTATGAATATTAAAAAAAAGATGTTCTTCTTATTTATAATTTAATTTGACATATATACAATTTACTAGGAAATGAACTACTAATTAGGTTTTGACTACAATATTATAAAAACAAATAAATAATTATACAAAATATATTTCTATGTATTTACCAATGCAATTATTTATACAGCGTGTATTATATTGTTAATTAATAATATTTTAAAATGAAGGCAATTATCTAAATGCTTATAGTTCGACGTGATTTAGTAATGTATCACATATATTTGTGGTCTTTTTTACAGTCTTAACTTCAATCTCAATAATGACGTGAAATGTGGTTAAGTCAACAACTTTGCTAACTTGATTCATATTTAAATCGGTTTCGAGTATAAAGTTACGAAATTCTTTCAAACATTTCATTTTAGTCGGAAATTATATAAATATGATTACAATACGACAATTTAACTTACGAGACTTCTGATCTTTTTTCTTTAATACAGTTTATAGTCATAAATAAATTTATAATCTATGAAAAAGACATGCCAAGGTGGATATCTTAAGACTATACTCTTAATTTAGGTAATAAGAAGACTTTATAAAGTGCTTGTTATCAGAAGAAGATGATGTGTGTCTGTTGGAGAATACTTTGAGAAGAAAGAAAACTTCTGTATCAATTCCAATAAACTTTAAACAATTTCGATTGCGCGGCAAGAATTCATAGAATTAAACTTTTATGTTTATTTCTTTTTTTTCCTGTTGCAGTTCACATTTTTTAAATCCTGTTGATATAGTTCCTTACATATATTTAGTGAATAATCTAGAAATACTATATGATCTACTGTGAAGTAGCGAAAACACTCTATGAAGCAATAATTATAAGATAAGGAATAAGATATGAATATAGTACATGAAAAAGATATATGTATATATCAGTTATATCAGCTAGTTGAATCAGTGCACTTGAGCACTTTTATTCTGTATTAACTGCGAGGTTTCTTCATAACCACTCTGTACGCCTTGACAGGATTATTGTTTATCTGCAAATTCATCAAACCCAAAAGATAGTATAATGGATACTGCTATAGATATTAAAATTTTATTATAACCATCATGAAATATTATATTCATTATATTAAAAATAATGATCCAAAGTGGTTTCGTGAAGCTTTTAACTGTGATTAATTATTTCAGTAATTGTTTCATATATAAGCAATCTATAAATATTTAGCTTTTTCTTTAATATATGGAGATTTCTGTATCTGAATTTTTGCAATACTATTTATAGTATCTAATAATAATCCATATCTTCTCTAATTTGTATTCCTTAATTATTATTTTTAAAATCCCACTTTTTCAGTGTACACAGATAAGCCAGTAAACCACTATGAGTGACAATTTCAAGCAATTTTCGTATACATTGCCCCTATTTAAATAGCTGTTGTGCTCCTGCATATCTGGCGATATAGCCTGGAAAGCATAACTTTTGACGAACACAAAAGCTACCATTCATTATCACTTACTTTTGTATAGCTTTTTGCACACTTAACAAAACACTCAACACTTGGCAACATTTATGATGGAGTGTATGCAGCATGCAACATACTGGTGTGTGCAGTACCGCACTTCATCACAGCCCGCTGGCAAGTAGACTAAATGACATGTCTCGAAAAAGCATGGAAGTTAAAATAAAAATAGGAATATACTTCGTACTCGAATATAAAGCGAGAAATATAGGTCGAAAAACATACACAAAAAGTGCTGAAATTGCAATTCTCCAACAGATTTTTTCCACTTGCTTTTGTGTTTTTATTTCCGTTTTAACTTTAATTTTTCTCCTTTATTTGCACATTTGCAACAGCACAGTAAAGTGTAAAAGTTGGCGCGTCTGCAAGCTGATTTATCCTGAACACAAGTAAGCGCGGTGCAAAGTCGAAGTTGCAAGTTGCAAGTACGACGATCCTTGCAATGGAAAATGTGAGTACTTGATGAATAAATAAACAGAAATGCACGTGAAACTAAAGGAAAACTGCTGCATAACTCATTTTAATTGTCATTTTGATGCTTAAGCGGAAGTTGTTCAGCAACATAATTTTGTATTAAAAGGATTAAAAGGATTAAAGTGCTCAGTGCGATGAAAATGAAAATTAAGTTGCAGCAAACTTGCGGTGTGTGAAGTTTTAAGCAAATTTTTTGTTTTGTTTAAAAATAAATAAAATATTAAAATGTCTATTTGAATTTAATATCTGAATATCTCAAGAAAAAATTGCTTAATAAGGAAGTTCCAATTGAAAAAATGACTCAATGCATAATGCATAAAAAATTGAAGAAGAAAGATATAATCTCTATACAAAGTTTGTGTTTAACGTAAAGCTGTTGTTTAAAAACTTCTTGTGTCAAATCTAGTTTTAACTTAATTATAATACTCTTAAGGTATAATGATAAATTACGCTTAATTTATGCTATTATATTATAAATGTTTAAAAAACTATCTTCCTTTCAACGAAAAATCAGATGAGGTATTAAAAAGAAATACTTTCCAAAAATAAATTACCTGTTCCTAAATAAGGCTTTACTTCTCAAATAAAAATAATTGAACTTGTATATAGCCCTGAAGATTTTTGATATCCTCTTAACTAAAGAAGGGCAGTGACAAATGAGATGGAGGACCGTCTCCTGCCCATCGTCAGAGTCACAGCCTCGACAAAAGTAAAGGGTATGGTAGACTCAGTCTCATAGCATGCTTCCGAATTATTTACTGGCCTATTAGTACAGATATCGTGGTGCTGAGCAGGTTCTGCCTTAGTTGAAGTAGCTGACTAGTGAGGTTTTTGTCCACAACCGACCAAGTCAACCTAGATATCTGAGAAAGGGATTTATCAGACCAGTATTGCTTGGCTATGATCAGGTATTTTTGTTTAATTGCCAGTTTAACTGCAGCAAGTGGAACGGTTATGTGTGAGAAGTAGATGTCAGGGAGAAGAAATATCACACTATATATGAAATAACATACTAAATTAAATTCGTATCAAATACAAAATATACCTCTTCACTTTGTGGGTGAAGCCGATCGGTACTGTACTAAGTTTAGGAAGAATCAAAATTTT